TGCTGGTAGAAAGCTTCAAAATTAGTCTATAACTATTCTAAGTTTAAATATGTTCTTCTCTGAGTTGAGGGTAGAACAGTTTGAGGAGCTGAATCAAGTGGTGTGAGGTGCAACGGTAGGTGAGGTGATACAACAACTTCGGTGGAGGTTGGTGGTTTTTTTTGGTCAGTGCTAAAGAAAAGAGTTTTGCGTGTAGCTGAGCATTTGCACTGACGTTACACTTATACAAATATTTCGCTTCTCTCTGAGATCGAATACCTAGAAGAAAAGCTGCATTAGCGTCATACAGGAAACTTTTCGAAAATTGGGCTGTCATGAGGCAGACGAATCAGGAGCCCATGGATAATTGTTAATTTTGGCTTTCAAAACTGTCTTCTGCCTCGAAGCACAGAAATGTTGCGGCCCAAAGACAGCAGCTATCGAACGTACTGAAGTTCAATATAGAAACTGAAGTTACACATAGGCACAAGAAATTGTACAAACAACAATTTACAAATAACTTTTTATAGTTAAATCAAACTGCAAATTTAATTTAGCAAAATTGCAAAACTTATCGTGCAAAGCAGTAAAAAAGTTCATAAACTTATTGAAAATGACAACGAAGTTAGCAGTTTTTTAGATTCAAAATGTGGCAAAAAATAAAAATAAAGATTTTATTTTTTGTTTTAAAGAACCTAAAAATTACAGTGTTTTTATAGAAGAAAACTTAACAAATAACTTTTTTTAATAATCTTTGTCTTTTTCTGCCCGTTTTTTTTTTTTCTCTTGCAAAACTAAGAACCTGCAAAATGTTTTTGTTTAGTTTAGTTCAGCTATCTGAGCTGCCTAGCTGACTGCTTTTTTTCTTCACAAATAAATTTACACCTTTACCTAAATTACCGATTTGCCTGCATAAATATTTTTTACTTTTTTTTTTGAACCTTAGCTAAAGAGTGTATGTTTTCGACAAATATTGATTGAGAAATACTTTTATTATCAGTTACTGATAACAATTTTGAATTTCTGCTTAAACAATACAATTTATAATTTTCATATCTTTTTTGATTAAAAATTGGTATTCTCCGGCTTTTAAAATGACGCTTTTTAAACTTTAAGCCAATTACAGGTTTTCGTGTTGATTTTTCATAAATTATTTACCTCAACTATTACAACAGTATGGTAACAGAATTTATTTGTAAAAGTATAACAACTGATAAAGCAAACCAATTTTTAATCTGAGTAAGCAAAAGTTTTATAAAATTATTTTTTGTTTTTACCAAAATATCATTTTTACTTTTGGTAGTCGGACACAAATAAAGTATGAATTTATCCAAAACATAGAGGAGATTAGCTAAGTTTCAGAAGGAAACGCGTGAAGTGGTATACTGAACAAACAGAAGGTACCTGTAAAAATGCTAAAAAAAATACTCTTAGATTCTTAATGTGTCATATATGACTAAGCATAATCGTTTTTGCCTACATTAGGTAAACTGTTTTATAATTGATAAGTTTTCTGGGTTTGTGCTCAGATTCATCAATCGGCAGTAATGAGTTTTAGTGTTTATTATCAAGAGACATCTTAAATAACAATTTCTTTTGCAGTCATTTTTATCGCTGTAAAAACTGTCACAGTTTCTCAAAGTTTCAATTTATTTAACTGCTAAGAACCAGTTTTTCTCAATGTTATAAATGGAATAAAATATTATCGACCGCACCATATGTTTTTTGCAGATAACGACTGTTTATTCGCGGATCGGCATTTGCAGTCGGTTGTTGTATCCGCTGATGTGTTGAATTTTTTGAATTTATTATTATACCGTAATCGTCATGACAAGTTGCGTTTTCTATCCACCATTCGTAAATGTTTTCATAAATCTTTTGAAATTTTTTTTTCTGATGCAAAAATTTACACAGATCACATACTATTGGTTGCCGTTTTACCCTTTTGTAAGTCCGTCGCCATTCAAAATACCTAAAAATACCGATCAAGCATTTTTTCAGTGTTTCTGCAGAACAACAAATATTGTCACTATTAGAAGACAGTAAACAGAAAACTTACTTTATATATTCATTATGATCTTCTTCTAAATGCTTCAAATATTTAGCTAATTGTTCTGGTGAAGAAAAATTATCTGCAGCAATATAGGAGTTTGGTGGAGCTATTGTTCGATAAATTGAATCCTTTAGCACTATTGGAACTATAAAATACTTCTTTATTTTGAAGAACTTCTCCGTTATATAATCCACGCATATTCTGTTT